TTCTCTTCATTTTTAGTAGTGATCTAGTGTTTGTGATGTCTCCTTGTGATAATATTATCAGATCTGGACCTTGAGAGTTCCAGAGAGTCCCTATCCTTCAGCTTTAAGCAATCCTTTATGAGTTTTAGAGCCTAATTTATCATATTGAGGGTTATTTTAGCATATAGAGTTGATAGTGTGATGCATGGAACTAGAGGTCGAACCTTTACGTGACTTTTGGGTTCTAGAAGGCCAGATCTATAGGTTGGTGAAGCAGATCCGACCTTAGGGGGTTGATTCAGCATGAGCATGGGGGGGGGGGAACTCGTCGAATCTATTGGTAAACTCAACTAGATGGATCGGGTTTCCCGCTATTCGTGACCATTAGTAACCCGATGAGTTTGGTGAGTGACTCAGTGAGTCAAGTGAGACCTTAGGAGGAATCCAATTAGACGTTTGGATTCACCGAGTAGTCGTATGAACTCGATGGGTCTAGTCAGTGTGGACTATTGACTTCAGTTAACTTGTAGCGTTTAGTCAACCAGTGGACCTTTTAACCAGTAGAGGGGTAGAATGGTCTTTTACCCTTCTAAAGCTTATAGTAAGAGACTTATTTAGCCTTTGAGAGCCGTTATTGATTTAGAGTAATGTATTTATGTGATTAGGCAGAGGCTAGATCACTATTCCGAGTTCGAGACTGTTTGACATTTCCCAAGGTGAGTCTTCTCACTATACTTACCTAGAGTGGTAATTAGAGTTGTGTGATAGAGTAATTTATATGCTATTTGTATGATGTGATACACTATATTGTTCTATGTGATATATGTCATGTATGTTTCAGAGCATATAGAGTTAGGGTAGAAAGGTCCACAGAGTTAGGAGCAGAGGGTCCAGAAAGTTAGGGCTAGAGGGCCCACAGAGTTATAGGGCTGGAGTGTCTCATAGAGACACCTTAACCTAAGAGTTGCACAGAGTTATAGCCTCAAGTGGCTAATATGTGTCGTATGTGGTATTTTGAGGAACTCATTAAGCATTTATGCTTACAGTGTTATGTGTTATGTGTTTAAGGTACTAGCGAGGATCGTGGGAAGGCGCCGACATGATCCGTACACACTGGCAGAAGAATTATTCTATGATCTTGGGAAATGCTTTTATTATCATGACATTGTTAAACATGAGTTTTGAGAATGTTGAATGAGTTATATGTTATTTGAAAAATGAAAATTTGTTTTGGAAATTCTCGTCATGACAAGTTGGTATCAGAGCCTTGGTTTGAGGGATTCAGATGCACCTTCGGGGAAATTTGAACTCAAACTGAGGATTTGAGAAAGAAATTTTCATAAATAAAGAAAAATTTCTAAAAAGATTAAATGCATTTGAGACAAGCAGAGCAGAACAGAGACATGTGTACAATTAGCCAGCGCCCGAACGGTGATTTCCCAAAATACCCTTACATTATGTGTTATGAGGTATTACATGATATGCTATGCATGCTAAGAGTGGGCTAGGTATTCTTATATACGACAAGAGTGGTCTGATTTGTGATGCCTTAGCCTAGGAGATTATTGCTACTATGAGATACTTCGAGAGCGAATAGGTAGCAACGAGGAGCTTATGAGTGGTTTACTGGAGAGTAGCCTGTGTTCAGCGAGATATAGAGCACTTTTGATTTGGGGTCATATGAGGAGGACTTGGGGTGAATATTGATGCATTGTGCAAGGTAGTATAGTGCCCGTACTACTGGAAACACCGGATTGGTGAGTAGTCCAAGTAAAACTCCTTAGGATGCTGAGGAACAAGTAGGGTGGAGTATCGAGTGCGAGTATACTCGAGCAAGTCTCTGATTTTTTTGTATTGTGTTTCATAGATATCATGGTGAGTATGTGCCACACTCCAGAGAGCAGCGGTGTCAGCGATGAGGAGATCCGCAGGATGATTCATGAGGAGGTGGCTACGGCCATATCAGCTGAGATACTGGAGATGTTTGGATCTATCAAGACCAAGTTGATCGAGACTTTTGAGAAGTGGTACACTCTTCTTACTGATGTTGATGTTGCTGCGGCCACCGCAGCCATCGCTGTTGCCAGGCCACACGGGTGACTCGTTGTTGTATCGAAAGTTCAGCAACATGAAGCCACCAAAGTTTGATGGGACTCAGGATCCTATATATGCGATGAGATGGATCTCTGGCATTGAGGGATGCCTCTACATGTCACACCCCCAAACCAGAATGGCAGAAAGATTCGGGGGTGGATGACTTCACGTAGTACCATAAAAATTGTATATCGTAAAGAAAGTAACACAACCATCACATATATAATAAAAACGTTCATTTTTGCGTTATACATGTTTCCAAAAGAATATTACAATAAGATGGTTTAAAATTTTTGATAATAAATGCCATAACGTTCCTTCCTCAAAAGCTGGTCGTTACCTGTATTACTGATTCCCTGAGAAATACAAGTGGTTTCGAAAAAGTGTCAACAATAAAGTTGGTGAGTTCATAAGAATTTTTGTATAGAAAAGTATGTCATTTTGGAAGAAAGTAGATGAATGTAGTTTCCAGAAAATCCAATATTTTCCACATATAGTTTTGAAAAGTTCCCAAAGTTGGATGGCGTTAGTATCCTTCGTACTTAAATGATATAGATAAATCTTGTGCTCAAAATAAAGTAAATACTGAATGCATTTATGAGAGAAGTTTATTTTTATACTTTCATGTGAGTTTTATAACCATACTATTGACACAGACTGCCTGTAATAACATTCTTCAGGTGTTGTAGTGTTATGACATTTGTCAACCCAGACCTGACGATCTAACTGTAGCTAACAGTTTAGGTGCGGGGTTGTCAATCCTGTATAAATCCATACACAAGTATCACGCTCTCCCTCCTAGAGATTATGGTTTATAATACAAGACTTGAAATGCATACTAGAAAGTACGTTGAAGTTGAATATCTCACATTACTTAGTATAAACAGATTCACGATAAGAAAGTCTTTGTTTTACTTTAGATGAAAGTATTTCGTTTTTCAATATGTATACGTAAGAATGTATGAATAACTCGCAAACTATACCCATTATAGTTTTTCGGAAAGTATGTTCCATTTGATGAAAATAACTTGGTAAAATACTAAACTTTATACGTATAGTAGGATAGATGTTGGATTTATAATGATATATTATCTTGTATTGTACTTGTATTCCCCCCCCCCTAAAACATGAAAAGACTTGAAAAGTAGGGGTATGAACTCACTTGTTCGGTTTGAAGAGAGTGGGGCTAGAGTCGGGAAGAACTTCGGCTGCGGAAAGTTGCGTCTTCGAGCTTCTCGGGGATCTCGGTAGTGTAGAACCTTCATAGGGGGCTCGAGTGTGGAACTGGGGTTGTCGGTACGGTCTCTGGTACATAAGAGTGTGTGAGAGTGATTGAAGTTTTGAGAGATGTGTGCTAAAACCCGGAGCTTATGCGTTCTATTTACGCCCGTAAACGTGTTTACGGTTGTAAACCCTTCATTGACCGTAAACTCCGAAAAACCCTTGTTTGCGATTTCAGCTTCGGTTCAAACTCGATTTCCTTTTAGAACATCTTTATGAAGGTCAGAAAACACATACCTACACGTTCGAACTATCAATTTCGAGATTAATCACAATTTTGACGATCGATGAACAGTGACTTTTGAGAGCAAAAGCAGGTTTACGGTCGTAAATAAGAGAAATGCAGAAAAAAGAGTTTACAGCCGTTAAGATGAGTATTTATACCCGGTCCAAAAACCTCATGGGCTGCCGACTTCAATTCCATGGTCAAAGAAGGGCTTACGGCCATAAACGTGTTTACGGCCGTAAACCCCCTTTCCAGTCGAAAACTCATTTTGGTTTGAAATTAAATTCACAATCATTTTTCTTTGCACAAAACATATGTATTATTTTTTTCTCACTTGACTCTATTCATGCAAGTCAAAATGGCAGAACTCAAATTTGCAGAAAGTCACAATTTAGCAATCTTACTAGTTGAGCCTCCTGTTGCTCTTAGTGAATTCAAGTCCCTAATTCATGGCTTGAAGGAATGTCATTTGGCCTCTGCTCTAAATTTGAATCCATCTATTTATCAACATCTAATCAGAGAATTATGGAAATCTGCAATAGTAAAGAAAGGAGATGATGGTTCTATGTTCATTGAAGCTCTTGTTAAAGGTTGCAAGATAATTGTCACAAAGCAAATAATCAGAGATGTTCTGAAGATCAACGACCCATCATGCTTTCCTAAAGAAATTGAATTGGATCAAGCTCAAGAGCTCCTAAGAAAACTGGGTTATGAGGGCGATTTTCCTCTTACCTTAAAGAAGCTACCACCACCTTAATGGAGGTTTTTAGCTCATCTTTTTATGAGTTGCATTTCAAGTAGAAGATTTGGTGCAGATGAGATCTCGCTAAGAAATCCAAGAGTTGTTGTTGCTCTTGCTATTGAATTCGACTTTAACTTCTAGAAATTTAATTTAGATGAGTTTGTTGTGAACACTAAAGGGAAGAAAGAGACAAGTTTTTAATGTATCCAAGGTTTCTCCAAATAATTATCAACAAGCAGTTTCCAGATATCACTAAAGAAGGTGAAACTTTGGATATAGCGTCTCTTTTTCCAAATACCATTGGGTTAATCAAGAAAAACCATAAGGGTAAATTTATTTTTGAAGGCAGATATATTCTGGTGAAATTTTGGATGTTCGTAGAGTCCAGTGAAGCTTTATTCATCTCATGAGCCGTCTGATCGTATGACAGTTGATGATCATGTGATAACAGTGTCAGACCATGAAGAGAGTAGAGTTCCTCCAGTTGCAATTGTGGTCGAGTAACATGAGTTGACATCTGTTCATGTTCATATTGACTACAGTAAAAGTAAAGATGTTGATAATGATGATGAAGATCTTCAAGACGATGATTCTTTTTTTGGGAGCAATTTGTCTCCACATGATGATTTATAGCTTCATCTGAGTTTTGCTGACAACTTCTACCCGTCACACGAAGACATGGAATCATTCTTTAAAAATTTTGGTGATGATTTTCAAGAAGCAACGCCTCCATTGGTTAATCAGACTGCCGGCACTTTCAATCCTATGGATTCAACTTCAGGGCTTCCTCCCCCAAATGTTGAAATTCCTACATTTGTGGCGTCTGCAAGTGATCTGATTGAGACACATATATATGTCCCTTTATTGAATAGAAGAAGACTAGGTCCAAGGGCAGGGGTACTGATTCAAGATTTGATCTAGCCTGTTAAACTCGTACTTAGTACTTCAACCAAGAATGACTTTTGAAGTTGCGAGCTCTTCAGCTCCTAAGAATGTCTCCCTTACAAGGCATGAGCATGATATTGTCTCTGAAAGGCTTGCTAGGTTCTTAGAAGAAAGTGAAGCAAACCTTCTGTCTGGAGAAAAAGGTATATCTATAGGGGCAGGCAGCTTGAAGGGGGAAGATACATCAAAACCAGAGCTTAGGGAGGAGATTATTGTACTCAAACAGAAAATAATCGAAAAGGATCTACAAATCGAGAACCTTGATTCTCGTATCTCTGTGCTCGAAGATGAAAGTTCTTTAAAGTCTTATCAATTTTCTACACTTCAGCAAGACAATGCTCAAAAGTCCAAACAAATTTCTGAGCTTTAAATCAACCTTGGTTCTCTCTTAGCTGGCTACATTAATCTGAAGAATAAACTTATTGTTGAATTTGGAGATAAGTTTCAGACAGCAACTGAAAGCCCAAGTATTCCTCAGGCTCCAATAACTGCCCCAGCCACTACTCCAACTTTTGAACAGACCGATAATGTGCCTGTTAGAACCACAACGGTCGTTGACCGTTTTGAGATGGAACATGCACAAGATCCACCTCGAATCACTATTAAGCGAGGAGGGAGAATGGTTATGTCCCAGAAAATGAGAGGCTTGCTCTTCATGAAAAATTCTGATTAGAATGTCCGTGGTGATCAGCCCCAACTGATTGTGACTGACCTTGAGAAGAAATTCCAGCATAAATATAGAGATAGATCAGGAGTCCGTATGTGGGGATATCATGATAAAATCAATTGTTGGCTGGTCAAGAGAAAGAGCAACACAGTGGAGTATTCAAAACATCAAAATGACTTTTCATCGCTCATCAAAGTGGATCTTACGGAATTGTCTACTACTCTGTTTTACAATCCCTCCAATGATCCTCGAGCAACTTCTTTCAAACTTTTCTTGGAAAATCAGGTGAGGAGAGGATTTACTAGTATGAAGACTGCTGAATCTTTTCTAAAGAATGCTAAACATGTGTTCGATCCAATCACCAAAAGGTCCATCAAAAATAGCAGGAGGCCTCCAGTTAAGCGGTTGACAAAGATTCCCACCATCAAGAACTTTTGTGGTAGTTCTTTGGATAATATGCTATATTGGGTGTATGATGAAGCCACAGCCTCAGTGGTTATCAAGTTTAATGATGGTGTCTTCCATATTATAGACAAGAGGGATCTTCTACAGTTTGGTGAGAGGGATATTCACACTTTGTAAGCTCATCAAATCATTTGTGAGCAGGATGTTCTGGAACCAGCTGCTATAGAATTCACAGGCATGATGTCTAAAATTATCAGCAAAGGAATGTAGTTGCAAGCAATGGGAAGATAAGATGAGTTGGTTGTTGAAAAAGACTAAGCTTATGCTAGCCTCAAACCAAGGGGGACATTTAGAGGTCATTATTTTGTAATTTTGGCTAGGAAATCGTTTGTAAAAGTCTTGTTAAGTTCTTAGTCATATTTTATCTATTTTGTAAGAGTTTACAGTTGAGCTGTATGTACGGCTGTAAACCTGTTAATGGCCAACTTCCCCCTATATATAGGGTATGTCAGTGTCTTGTCAAGTTGTTGACGAATCATAGTGTCTCTTTGTTTACGACCCCCAAGGTGTATTAGATGTTTATTTTATATAAAACGTGTGCATGTTTGTAACACCCGAGAAATTAGAGTATATTTATTTAACCCTTCTTCTTCTGCTAAATTTTCAAGTTGACCAATAAATTCGAATTGTTACAGATAAGTACGCTGGGCGTACAAAGGTGTGCGTTGCACGCACTCATGCGCTTAAGTTGGATGCGAAGTATATGCGGTACGCTGGGCATACCTTAAATTATGCTGGGCGTAGTGAGCCCAGACTCAAAACCCTAATTCTGGCTTGTGCACTATAAGAGGGATGCTAAGGCCTTTCCCCCAGCCACCATTATTCAAAAAGGAAACCCTAAGAGAGAATAAAACCCGTAGCGGGCTTGTGTGTGTTTTTAAGCTTGATGGTGCCATTTCAAGGTGAAGAAATGTGAGGAGGATGCCATTGGAAGAGCTTGAAGTTGGAGAGCAAGAGTAGATCCGAGTTCTACATGGGTTGGAGCTTCTATCTGAGGTAAAAAGCTCCTAGCGTTCCTTTCCTTTCCCTTTTTGTTTTATGCTTCATGGTCCATTTCTAGGGTTTAAGTCCCAAAGGTGGAGACTTTATGAGCAAAAGGGACTCCATGGACCTCGATCTGTCCCATTTTAGTGATATGTGTGTTGTAGAGCCATAAAAATCCAATATTGGTCATCGTTATGGAGTCATGCATGAGTTTGGTTTTAAAGAGTAAAGAGGATAAAAGGTTGAAGTGAGTTATAACTTTTCAGCCTTGCAAAGGCCTTAAGGTCTCGACTTTATGGTTTGGGAGACTGAGGAATGTCCACATCCGAGTTTTGAGCATTTTTCTTAACCTATTCAGATCGAAATCAGAGGAATTGTAAGTCTGGGACTTATGTTGGGCGTAAGTCTAAGAACGCGTAGCGTAGTCGTTGAGGCCCCGATCAGATCCATGCACGTCTAGGTACGCTGAGCGTACCAAAGGGGGTACGCCCCGTGTAACTCCTTCTGGGGGTTTTTAGGCTAAGCTTTGTGTTGGGCTTTAGGATTTGGGTCTTATTTTTGGACGTCACACAATAGAGTTTTGGACCAGGGGAGGGTATAATTGTGCTTGGGGCTCTTGGGGTGGGCTTGCCTTTCTGTTTAGGAATTAGGGTGTGTCTGGGCCCATTTATTATTAGGCCTTGGTGGGCCCAATGGGCTTAGGGAATTGGTGGGCTGGTCGGTGGCCTATCCTTTGACCTGATAAGTGGGAAGTTAGACTTAGCTCCTAATTGAGATAACTGTGGGTTTGGTACAGAGTTAGAGGTCGGTGCATGGTAGCAGCGTTTTTAGGAGCTGTTCTTCACCCGAGGTGAGTCTTCTCACTATACATTACCTAGAGTGGTAGTTGCGTGTAGATTGTAGGGTCATATATAGACAGGACCGAAGGGTCCAACGAGACAGACCGGGTCGGACGGCCCAACGAGTAATAACCGGACCAGAGGGTCCAACGAGCTATGGGACTGGAGGGTCCCGCTGAGACGCATCAACTGGAGGGTCGTACACTTGCCTCGAGTGGCGTATGTGTTGTATTTGGTACTTTAGGGAACTCACTAAGCCTTGTGCTTACTATGTTTGTGTGATGTGTTACAGGTACCAGTGAGGATCACGGGAAGGCGCCGGCATGATCAATACACGCATGTGCGGAGTTTTACGTATGTTATGATCTTGGGCTTTTGACTTTTGTTTTGTTATGAGAAACAATGAGATTTTTAATATTGTGAATAAAAGTATGCTTTAAACTATGGAAATTTGTTTTAAATTTTTATGGTGTTACAAGTTGGTATCATAGCCTTGGTTTGAGGGATTCAGATGCACCTTCGGGCGTATTTAAACTCAAACTGAGGATTTGAGATATTTTTTTTAAATAAAACAGGTTTTCTAAAAGAGTAAAAGGTTTGAAAAGAGCAGAGCAGAGCAATGTGTACGATCAGCTAGCGCCCGAACGGTGATTTCCCAAAATACCCTTACATTATGTGTTATGAGTTATGATATGATATGATATGCATGTAAGAGTAGGGTAGGTAATCATATTAGGACTACAGTGGCCTGATTTATGATGCCTTAGCCTAGGAGATTTCTACTACTATGAGATGCTTGAGAGTGAGTAGGTAGCAGCGAGGAGCTTATGAGAGGTCTGCTGGAGAGTAGCCTATGCATAGCGAGATCAGAGTACTTGTGATCTGGGATCCTAGGAGGAGGACTTGGGATGAATATTCATGCGGTGTGGGCGGTAGTATAGGGCTCATACTACTGAAAACACCGGATCAATGAGTAGTCCAAGTAAGAATCCTTAATTTACTAGGGAAACAAGTAGGGACGATAGTTCTAGAGGTGATCGAGAGGAGTCATCATGATTCGAGTACCATGGTTGGTGACAGATTAAAGAGTGATGTCACGGTTCGAGTACCATGCATCGTAGCGGATTGAAGAGTGACGTCATGGTTCGAGTACCATGCATCATAGCAGATTGAGGAGTGATGTCATGGTTTGAGTACCATGCACCATAGCAGACTGAGGAATGATGCCATGGTCCGGGTACCATGCATTGTAGTAGAATGAGAGGTGATGTCTTGGACTGAGTACCATGACTTGTGGTAAGGATGCTTGTGGTTCTTCGGTTAACCAGTCACGATTGATGTGGTGAGGATCCGATATGATAGTATATGAGGCCAGAAGGCCATGATGAATGAGTTCAAAGAAGCATCCCTTGAGAGGCGGGAGGGTCAAGATAATTCCAAGGTATATGTGGTTAGATATCAGATAGAGTCGCAAGACTCGAGGATGAGTAGAGATGGCTTCCATGGAGAATTGCAGCTGGAGATGAGCAATCAGCCGATAGAAGAGATGTCACCTTCTGTTACCTGAGTAGTGTTATTCCAGTTTTGTAGTAGTGTTGATTCTGATGGCATATGCGGAATTAGAAAAGATCTAATGATTCATCATTCAAATTTGAGAACACAAGGAGTAAATAAATCTTTGTAAGCTCTTATTAGATCTAGAAAGATTATACAAATGGGTTTGTATACAATTTCTCTCTCTAGTCTAACACTCCAAAATGGACTCTTACATAATAGGAGTCACTCACTTCCTATTTATAGGAAAAGACTCAAACCATTTACACATACAAAGAGGAAAGCCTAAAACATTACATCCAAGCATGACGTTGCACACTAACATTCTCCCCCTCAAAGTTAGGATTGGATGTCTGGCTTTAATCTCCAACGAGCTAGCGCGATCAAGACCAAACTCCCCTTTGAAGTAACACCGGTCTTCAAATCCGCAAATGAATATTCGACAAACCCGAAATGATTATAAAACCCACTAAGGATTATAAAATGTTGCACACTAACATTCTCCCCCTTTTTATAATCAAAAAATGATTATAAAACCCACTAAGGATGAGAAGCGCTCGAGGAATAATCTTCACAATACTCCCCTTGATGTGTACCAAAAATGAATCACCAAAAATTTTGCACGAACAAACAATCACGAAAAAGTCACAAAAAAATTTTTCAATTTTTGAAAATTTTTGACTTTTTGGGTGAAAGTTGCAAGATTTTTCAAAATCCGGGTAGAAATTGTCACTTTCTGAAACTAGCAGGGACCCGTTGCGCCAAAAACAGTCAAATATGCGAAACTCTAGCCCATTTGCGAAACCGGGCATAAAGCGTAAATTCGCACAAACTGGAAGGACCAAAACTGAAAATGTTGTAATTTCTTAGCTTTTATTGCTATTTGCGAAGTTGGTTATTTATTTCCAAAAATGCGAAACTCCAGGGACTGTTTTCAAATCTTGTTCCCTTTTGTTCTCCAATCATGCGAAGTTGAGTAAATATTGTCACTTCGTGAAAAAGTTCAGGGACCAATTACGAACCTTTGGGCTTTCTTCCCCAATTCGCATTTATACTGTAAAAATGTCTTCTTATGTTTCAGATTCGCACATTTCGTTCTTCACACACTTCGCATTTCACACACAATCAATTTTCGCATCTTTACATCTTTAACCAAATGCGAAC